ATTTATTAAAAATACATAAGTTAGTAGGTTTCACAATTTATTTAAGAACTTTTTCTCTTCTAATTTTATATTATTCAATGAATTTTAACTAATAATAGAAAATATATTAAGAGAGTATATTATTAGTACCCTTCTCATAAATTTAAATAATTTTTCATCAATTATGTTTACTTTCAAGTAAGAAATTAGCATTAGAGCTAGATATATGTATCTAAGAGTAAAATACTTCTCACATATTTATTTTATTTGATGCTCACTTTAAATTATATTTTTTTTTTAAATCACTTTGTATTTTTAGAATTTTTTTTTTCATTACTCAATTACTAAAGCATGAAAATAAAATTGTAACAAAAAAAATGAAAATAAAATACATTAATATTTATCGAGTAGTAATCATTTTTGTGCGAATAAAACAATGTCTATGTTCGTGCAGCTGTATAAACCTAATTTGTTATCACAGCTCTAATGATCATAAATTCATAACAATTAATATTAATAATTTGATATATATATATATATATATATATATATCATTGGACAGAAGTTGGAGAACCTTAGTTATTTTAATTAGATTGATTAAAATGAATTAAACAGGGAAAATAAAATGATTTGTCATTCATAAACATTGTTTGAATTCATAAAATTAAAATGATACAATAGAAATTAATTAAATTATCAAGTTTACATCATCTCAAATTATTCAGTAATTTTTTTTCTTCTAATTAGAGACATGTAATAAAGAAACTAAACCACATGAATAAATCTATATCTTAATCATTTTGTATATATTTTGAAATAAAACAAATAAATTCTGAATATGTTTTAATGTTTTATTTAATTTTGTGGTATTACTTTATGTTCATTTATGTTTTACTTTGATATTAAATATTTAAAGGGGTCTCAAAAAAAGTGACAACAAACAACATGATTACATGAATTGCAGCAACACATCATCTTCAAGTAGAAAGTCAGAGGTACAATTAGCAGTAGCAATAGCATTGCTGAGCAAAGTTAGAGAAAACTAAAAATTAAATAGTGATAGTCAAATAAAGTACAATTAACTGTGATTGCACTTTAGAGGTTTCCTTAATTTGTAGAATCAGATACCAATACATTACTGTTACGTACGAACCAGAATTTAAATAACAGATTTCATTTCTAAAGACATTCTAATTTCTAATCCTCAGATGAAAACAAATTACAACAAATTATGTTAAGCTGTCAAGTTACACACACTATTATTAGAATAAAAGAACGAAATATTCTGGAACATCTTAATTGCTTGCGTGAATTGGGATAACTGAACTTAGTTCGCACTTGACATACTTAAGATAGTTTAAACTTTGAGTTAAGTCTAAAACATTTGTGATTACCATCCCTAACAGGGATGGAAGCAAAACATGACACTTTCATTAGATTTATGTAATTGTAGTGAGGAGAGATAGTATAATACAACTTTAACATACTTTTTATATATAATATATATTTCTTCCGATGTCAACTAATAGTTATTAAAAATTATAAAATAAATATAATTTTTAATAAGAAATTAAACTTATGAAAATTTTAGTTTTTAATTATAATAATACATTATATGAAAAATAATATTATGTAAAAAACGTGAGTCAAGATTTGTTGATAATATTTTTTTTACATAATACTTACAATAGTAGGGACACAAAGGGAATTTGGAAGAGTCATGGTTCCTTTTATTTTTTTTTAAATGTATCAAAATTACTATAAAAATATTTTAATGATCAATATATAATTTATATAAAAAAATTATCATTAATTAATAGACAAAAATTATCATATTAATTTATATTTAAAAAATAAATAAGAAATATATATATATATATATATATATATATAAGATATATAATATAATAGAAAAAGAGATAAAGAAATTACAA